CATTTCGAATCTCGTCTAGGACAGTGGCTACCTGATAGATTTTGTTCACAGTTTTGTTCAGTCCTTCCAGGCAAATGCCGGGATGTTACCTCGAGATCACTTCCTTTCAAGTCCTTGCTCGTTCATCGGATAGAAACAGTTTCCTGAAATAGTCCAAAAAAATAAAAAATAAAAATCAATGTATTGCCCTTGCCGGGTGGCATACACATAGTAACATCCGAATTTCTTATAAATAACATAAAAATTCCTATACGGTCCGTTTTGTATTACAGGAAAGTAGACCATTAGTTCTTCCCAGAACTTATTGTTTCTTAAGTACTGAATGTTAATACATGATCATCACATTAATGGAAGAATGTGGAAACAGGGTGCTGAGGAGAATATTTGGGCCAAAGAGGGGTGAAGTGACGGGAGGTTGGAGAAAACTGCATAATGAGGAGCTTCATAACGTGTACTCATCTCCAGCTATAATTAGAATGATCAAGCCAAGGAGGATGAGATGGGTAGGGCATGTAGCATGCATGGCTAATTTACTTGTGAGTCTTTCCATCAGGAGATGTCGGAGTAAATTTATGAATGTTACGATGTAGCTTCGTAACTCTTCGCGTGTATTGGAATGATAATTGCAATGTGTATGAGATGGACAGCGCATGTAGAACGTTTGGGAGGGAACAGGTTACATACGGAGTCTGTGTAGGAAAACCTGAAGGAAAGAGATCACTATGAAGACGTAGGCATAGATGGAGGAATAATATTAGAATGGATCTTAGGAAACAGGATGGGGCGTGGACTGGATTAATCTGGCTTAGGATAGGGACCAGTCAACATGGCAGTGAACTTTCGTTTTCCATAAATTGCAGGGAATTTCATAAGTGGCTTAGCGACTGGCAGTTTCTCAAGTAGGAGTCAGTTCCATGGATGTTATGAATAGTCTGTAAGTAGGAGCGGTCGCAGCATGTAACAGAAATAGACTAAGTTTGGATTATCACTTGTTCTCCTTAGGAAAACACCGGAAGTTTAATTGACGCAAGTAAAGAGGTTGGTCTACGAGTAAACAGAGAGAAAACTAAGTATAAGTTACTGTCTCGTCACCAAAATGCAGGGCAAAATCATGACATACAGATAGGAAACAGATGTTTTGAAAATGTGACACAGTTCAGATATTTGGGAACAACGATAACAGATCGAAACCTGATTCAGGAGGAAATCAAGAGGAGAATGAACTCGGGCAATGCTTGCTACCATTCAGTCCAGAACCTTCTGTCTTCTCGTCTGTAGTCCAAAAACATAAATATTAGAATATACAAAACTATAATTTTGCCTCTGGTTCTGTATGGGTATGAAACTTGGTCTCTGACATTAAGGGAGGAACATAGACTGAGGGTGTTTGAGAACAGGGTGCTGAGGAGAACATTTGGACCAAAGAGAGATGAAATCACAGGAGGTTGGAGAAAACTGCATAATGAGGAGCTTCATAACTTGTACTCTTCTCCAAGTATAATTAGAATGATCAAGTCAAGGAGGATGAGGTGGGCAGGTCATGTAGCACGAATGGGGGAGACANCTCAGCTCCATGAGTAAGTAAGTAAGTAAGTAAGTAAGTAAGCTATGAAATGCCAACGGGAAGTTTGTACAGTTGTTAACATAGGTATGTGAAGCATCAGATCTATGGAGAAGACAGAATGTATAGACACGTTGAATTCTATTTTTACCTATAAAAATAAAATTAAGAAATACCGAAACGCAGTACCTGCAATAATTGCAGACACAGCTGCTTTTGTACGGTAACAACAGAACGATAGGGTTGGCTACTGGTAACGATGGGTCACTGGCTATTCCGGTTGAGATCTTCCGTTGTTACTGTCAGTCCCTCCGTGGCACGCGGAAGCGTAGATGGTTGAGGCGCTATGATACAAGTCGGAAGGTCGCGGGTTGATTCCATATGAGATCATTGGATTTTTCAGTTGACGTAAACTTTCCAGCCACGCTGTGACCCTGGGGTCGACTCAGCCTCTAACAGAAATGAGTACCAGGAATCTTTCTCGGGGGATAAAGTACGGCCGGTGCGTAAGGCTGACAAAATCACCGCCATCTGTGAGCCGATTGTCTAGAAAATGTGGGAGCCTCAACGTCTCACAGCCCTATGGTCCTCCGCGACCTGTTACAGGGATAGTTTTTTTATCCTCAGTCCCTCCAGGCAAATGCGAGAACGGTGCCTCTATTACGCTGTGAAGGCTTCCTTTCAAATCCTTACCTATACACAGTTTATTATCGTAATAAATCTCATGTATTCTAAACAATTAGAGCATTGTTACGTAACCCACAGAAAGTTTACAGATTGCGAACTTTGAAGGTGAGTGAATACCGTTTCTGTTTCACATTCAGAGATTCTGGGTTCAAATCTTGTCACACGAATAGGCTCCCACTTGGATTTTAGCTCAGCTTTCTATAATATCACGTTAGAAATTGGGTAACAAGACAGTCACTATCACTTGGATTATAATGCAGTTTTCTTTGTATGATCCCATCGACGTTTCGGAGAGAAGTGTATCCTTTGCTAACAGTAACCTGAGCAAGGAATCAACAATAAGCAGGCTTCATTCGACGCTGAAGAAGGAGGCGATATGTTCCTCCGAAACTCGGATGTATTTCTACCGGCATATGTCTCGATACAACGCAGGGTATCTCAGCGCTGTGATAACCTCAAATTCAACTACGTTAACTTGTTTCGAAGAGTTACAGCGACTCGTGGTTTGTTTCCCCTACTCTCCTCTTATCTCATTTCAAGGACTTTTCCTTCTTCTCTCGGCTTTCCTCGTCTCTTCTTTTGGAAATAAGAAGAAGGGAGACTGATTGGAAGCGACTTACACCCCCCTCCGCTCCACTCTCCTTCCCTGCCGTGCATTGGTCCCGGTATTGCTTTATTAAGTTTTCATATTCAATCTTGACTTGCCATTACCCCTGGAGACTAAGCTACAAGCAACGCAACGGGGCACGGAAACGTGGGAGCTGGTAAGGGGGAACGTCCAACCCTCCTTCACCCCCCACGCCACCCCAGCTTCTTTCAATTCTACTGTCTGTCTACTTTCATTGTATGAAATTGCGTCAGATTTTTTCAACGGGTTGCCTACCCAACCCTGCCCGTCATTCGCCCCTAATTACCTTGTATATATATCGTTGCTCACACTAGCGGCTGATGATGAGTAACTCTGACGTTTAGCTCCGGAATGGAAAGTAGGGGAAAAGGTTTTTTATTTTATGAAAAAGCTAAAGAAGAAGAAGAAGAAGAAAGTTATGGAGTCTTGTCACATTGAGTTATGTCTCAACAGGAATTATTATTATGCAAATAAATTGCGAAGTTTGGCAAATATAATACCTTTCAGCCTTGACCCCCAACGTTACCTAACCTCGCAAATATGGAAAAAAGTTAACAAGATTTTCTGAGAAGAACTAACCGCCTAATTTCCCTTCATACAATACGGACCGCGTATTTGCGTATTTGTTGCCGCGGTAACGTTTTTACGTAGCCGTTGCCTAGCAACGATATTAAGATAAACATATAGGCAGACTGATGGAGGATATATAAGGTAAGCCGTTGCGATGGGCTCAGTTGCCATGATATACATGTCAAGATTCATAAAGGCTGGTTCAGGCATTCACAAGTTAAGGGAGGCATACACAGACACCCCATACAGTTATACATCTCTGTGTAAAAGAGAATTGTGCATATTTACCACGCATTGAACTCGTATGAGGGTATCATGTTGTATCTTCATGGATTCTGGTAACAGAACGGGGTAGGTTTACCCCCTCGGAAGTTTTACCCTGTGGACAGAGCTCCAAAATACATCGAATAGGATGCTGGGTAGACTCCAGAGAAGGAAATGGCTCTATACAGAAGAGAAGAAAACCTCACCCCTCTGGAAAATCGAAGCCCTCTGTGTTCCTCACAGTAGCTTGTAAGTTAAATTTCGTACTCTTCGAGCATGTGCCTGCTCGAACCACAGGTTGTGCACCATGAGTTAACGACATTCAGAGATGCTCATTTATCAGTCTTTTATCGCTAAGAGTGACAGATTTATTGTGTACTGCACTAAGCTGCCGTTTCAGATTTTTCAGATGTGCTGTTCATATGTGGATATATAAACACTTCAAGAATTCAAATGTTGGGAATATTCCATTTGGAGGCGGGGTCGAATACCTCCACCGTGACCATGCGAGTCGTAAGAGGCGACGAAGAAGGAAATCTCAAATGTGAAACAGAAAAATGCGGTCGCTAGTCCCACGGGACTCGGACCCGAGAATGACTGCGCTGGCGAGGACCAGCAGAAAATATAAATGACAGACCTGTCCTCTCGTCAGAGAGAGAACCCCCCCCCCCATCAACAAACCCGCAACTCTCTGACAATAATAAAAATGTGGTCATAAGCCCCAGATGGGTGCTTTATTTCAAAACAGACTGGCCGACTGACCGTCGGTTGTAACTCAAGACTCATACTCAGACGCTGGGAAAGCAACTGAATTTCGTATATTTCATTGAGCGTGTATAGTTGATAATATGTCGACAGATGTCGCTCGCTATCAAAACAAACTGCGTGGTTTGAGTTCTAAGAGAACTATACCGACCGAGCGACCATCGTTTGTCGGCGAAGTTAGTGCCAACTTTAGCGGATAGAGGGTGTCACGTGGTCAGGGCAACGAATCCCCACGGCCGTTAATCTCGATTTTCTAGACCGGAGCCACTATTTCCTTGAAATAGCTCCTCACTTATCCTCACGAGGCTTAGTGGACCCCGTTCCAGACCCACTACTTCTCAGAAAATCTGGTAGCGCCGGAAATCGAACCCGGACCTCTGACCACTAGACCGCAGAGGCGATGCCGGACGCTAGCACATGTAGTTATTATATTGTAGAGGTCGAAATTTTCGTCTCTTGGTACTTGTAGGTTGAGATATAACTTTTCTGTGTTAATTCGAGAATTGGTTCTGTTTTGTGCTTCAGGTGCGGAACGCTCTTCCTTATCGGGCATCAATTCCTACAGAACAGGGTCTGACACAGAGGAAGCAACCACGACAGACAACCCCACAACCCCCTTCCCTACACCGCCCCCGACGTGTGCGTCCCCTACTATGTACCACCACCCGCTCAGCAGCAATCCTCTACAGCACGCCCCAAACCTGTCTTCATCCGGAAGCCATCGTCAGGCCTCACCTTACCCCATAGAGTCAACCAACCTGTCTGAAAACTCAACCCCCGTCAACTCCACCAGCCCTCGCTTCCCATCACACATGCCCTCGTCTTCGTCCACGTCACGACACCACCACGGCGGACATCACCACCATCATTATCCAATCAAGAAGTCGTCACTGAGTCGGAGTGACGCCAGCGTCGGCTCGAAGCAGTCAGCGAGTCAGCAGTATGGGCAGACAGGCAGCTCGGGTACCCTGGGGAGCAGGGGGCGACTTTCGGCCAGCAGCCGCAGGATGGCAGCACAGCAGCAACAGCAGCAGAGTGGCGCAACAATGACGTCGTCCTCTTCAACGTCATCGGCGTCGTCTCTTACAGACAACAATTCAGATATGACGTACCCGGGAGTCGACATGTTGGGCGGAGTCAAAGATGGAAGACGCCACAATTTGGAGAACGGTGAGTGTAAACAGAACTGTAGAAAATGTTTCGCGTATTTTTTTCGTCTTGCATCTCTTAGAGTTCTCACTCACGAACTGGAGCTGAATTCATTGGTTATCTTTGCCACTCGACTCTGTTGGCTGTTTGCATTATGAAGTGCCACTTGTTTTCATGCTCTGTGACTGTCGCCCTGCCTCACTCGAGGAGCGAACTTATGGATCCTACTCGCAGATATCTGTGTAGCAGTTCACGGATATTCCATAGCAGCCAGTTGCAAGTAATTGGGACAAACCAGATACTGGTCTGTGCTGAAGGTAAATTTATTTACGTATGAAGACGTATGGGGGAGTGGATGTATAGATCCATATGTTCTTGATCTCGGCACTAGTTGGAGGTGAGTGGTCAGCTTCACGCCCTGGCTGCCTTATCCCCGGGAAAATAGTAACCACGGTACCCATTGCATTGGGGGCTGGATGAGCCCCAGAACGGGTTTGGACGACGCGGAGAAGAGAAAATTTTTAAACCTACCGGGACTCAAACTCCGAGCCCTAGGCCGTCCAGCCCATAGACAGTCGCGCTATGTAGACTATGCTATCTACTAATGATTAATATTATGTTCTGGGATGTGACGCCGTGTAGTATGGCACAGAGAGAGGGACCCGCTACGCACTCTGGTTACTATATGTACCACCTCCTTTAAAATTAAGCAAAAGAAAGTTGAACATTTCACACGTATTGACGTATTGTGGTTATGTTTCCATGCATGTATAAGTCGCAACAGAGACGGAGATAATTTCTGTAAAATGTAGGTCTTATTCAGTTACTCAGTATAGAGGGCGTGGGTTTCCCCATGCACCGCGACTAATAGTCTATTGTACGTCCCCCTTTAATTTCTAATGTCGCCATACCCTACCGATACTGGTGCCCGCTATCTCCCCTTTCTGCCAGCGATGTCGGCCCTCTACTGGCAGTGGTACCCAATAACTTCCCCATCTACCGGAGACATTGGAGACTACTTGGGCGGGAAACTCTTTACCTAATTTTGCTCAGAGGTCTCCTAGAGACATGATCTTTTACGTGCCGTAAATCTACGACAGGGGACCCACGGCTTAAAGTCCCTCCCGGTGGACTTGTTCCCTAAATTTTTCCGCCCTTAAAAATTTCACGACCTCCGCCGGGTTTGAACCCGCGTACCTTGAGTCATGAGGTGGGAACGTTACCCCTAGATTACGGATGCCGCTAAATGTAGGTCTTTGTAATGGCATGTTTTCTGTGAGGTAGGAACTGAATTCTTGAAAGTTAGTTGGACGTGTTTAATTCTTAAATTTCCAAACTGTGCAGTTCGCCACATCAGAATCCCGGAGCCACTGTCTCAAACCGCTGCTAACCATTTCACGCTGCGGTCGAAGCCTGGGAACCTTCTAGTAAAATTATACAGTTTCTCCTCCCTTTCCCTTCCCCAGATAAAGTCTCACTCCCCTCTTATGATATTTTCTTTCACCCAAAAGTGTATTATTCTTTGTTTCCCCCTCCCGCTATATGTTTCATTGGGCTAGATGATGTATTTTGTTTGAATCTTGGGTTTATATGCGGCCATATTATCATATCTAATGGTTATACAGCATTTGTAGACCATTAGAACAACCACAACATATTACGAAGTTATTCCCCGGAAATCTGAACACATGATACTTTATGCCTCAATTTGACATTCTCACATCGGTGAGGATAACAGTGAAGCCATGTTGTGTGGCGAAAGTTCACCGACGTTTCGGAGTACAGTATTGCCTCCATGTTTAGTGTCATAGAGTAAACCAAGCATCCAGCAAGAAGCATGTAAGCAAAAGTGATTCCTTGGCTTACTTTTCAACCCTGAAGATGGAGGCAGTTCGGTTGTCTGAAACATCTGTGTACTTCTACCAGACTACACGGCGTGACGTCTCAGAGGACAGTACTCTTCACTTGATACTTATAGATCGTTTGGGAGCTCATATGGAGCGGAGTTACTTATCCCCTGTGTATTTGTCGGTGAAATCAATTTGGCCTCTTAATCCACCCTTCTGCCACTTTCACCCTTAATTGTAATTCTGTACGCATGACATCAATATCTTGAGGAAAGTTTTAGAGAGGGGTAGATTGTTGGTGCCAAGTGGAAAGACATACCGGGGGCGTCCGGGAGGGGTGGGGGATGTCTAATGTGCTTCGTGGGATGTAACAAGATTGATTGGTAAGGGTAGAATCCGTGATTGGAATTGTACTTTATTATTTGCACACACACACACACACACACACACACTCCCCCTACCCCGGAAATAAAGGTAAACGCATTTCCTGTGATGGTTTTACAGTGAGATTTGAAACGGGAACCACTAAACACTTTATTCGCCATTTAGATCAGAATTTCCCGCCTTTAAATTAGGAGCATTTAAACGCATCCGTTCATATAAACGTTCAAATGGGAAACTCTACTATATGCACGTTAACCTTCGATCCATTTTAATGATATTTTGAAGCATTCATAAGTCTGGAGCATCCGTTACAGAAGAGAAAGTTAAAAAAAATAGAGAGTAGTTTTTGTTTAACTCGTGACGTTGGCAGCACTGAGAAATATAGCCGGACAGGAACAATATGAACAACCCAAGATGGATTGCAACTTCTCAAAGCAATGCCTATGAGAAGCAATGTTTTCTGGGGTGAGACTATGTATTTTGATGGAAGCCCAACGATGTTTCGGAAAAAAGAGTGTCGCCATCTTCAGGGTCGAATACTAAGACGCTCTAGTTTCGTTCGAAACGTCTGGGGTCAGCTGTATATGAACATGTAGGGACAGCTGCCCCTGCCGGGAATCGAAACTCCATTCTTCGACCTTCGAGCCTGTAGCCTGAGCTAATACAGCTCCCCATACCAAGTCCGTACCAATTGAAACATGAAAATTGTAGCGGTCCTTAAGAACCTGGGATCAACCCACCACTGCAGGAGGGTGGTTTTGTGAGCAATTCTCTGCGCCGCTAGCCTCTGGAGGCTACTGTATAGCGTGGGGTAGCTGGGTGATTGATGAATGATAAATTGGAAGGGATCTGGAAGGAAGCGGTTTTGGCCAAATTATATACACCTCGAGAGGAGAGAGAACGTTAAAGATAGGTCTTGTCCTGGCAGAGATATGAACCCAGCTTCCCCTGAATACGAGTGCAGAGCGTTGGCTCTGTGCTAGCTTCAAGGTGTAATGCAATATGGTAACAGATAATAAAGAAGCCGATGCCATCTGATTGGCCAAGTTGGCCTCCGACAGCGAAGTGAATATCTCTGTAGACGTCTGGTACATTACACAAGTTGTCATGGAGTCTGACCGTTCTGCGTTAGTTTTAAACTTCAACTGAAGGAGATATGACCCAGGGTCTTGTAAAATGTCTGGACACTCAGAGCTGCACGTTAGGAAGCTGTCCAGCAAACACGTGATCCGTAGAATCTGCCATGTACAGTCCCACTATTCTTTCTCCAGTTCTGTAAACTGTGTAGAGAAGGGGGTAGTTTTGCTAAGCTTCTGGGAAAAGTGACGGCGGAACTTGTGGAACTGTACGGTCCACCTTGAAAACATTTCCTTAAATTCCCGTGAGGCGATGAGGTAATTAGGATGCTTATTTAGTTCCATGCTCAGTGTATTTGGTTTCGCGTACTTGCAACCCAATCATAACATCCAAAACAAAAAAACTCCATGGCTTGAGTCCGAAAGCGAACAATACCGACCGAGCGACTGTCGCTTGTAGGCGAAATTAGTGCCAACTTTAGCGGATAGATGGTGTCATGTGGTCAGCGCAACAAATCCCCACGGCCGTCAATTTCGGTTTTCTAGACCGGAGTATTTCTTTGAAATAGATCCTCAGTTATCCTCACGAGGCTGAGTGAAACCCGTTCCAGACTCAGTATTTTTCATAAAATCTGGTATCGCCGGGAATCGAACAGTCTTGCTGACTAGAGAGAGACTGTTGGAAGATCCGTGCCCGCAACAGCGGTGCGAAACGCGCGTTTCGGCTCACTGTTCTCATAATCTCACGCAGGATCATTACGATTTTACTGTATACAAAGAAAATTTACTCCTGTAACGACTCAAGCTGTGTTACTCAAGCTCAGCCACGTTAAGAACGGAACTTCCGTGTTGTACTATTGCAAATGCCTTGGATGGAATGTTATCTTTCAGTCACACTTCAAAATCGTCACGACATACCGAGGATACGTCACAGTATCGGAGCATAACGCCACTACTTATAATTTGCACAGCCGAAGAATAAAGCCACAACACATCTAGCATGGGGCCACGCGGTAGCGTAGTGGTTGAGGAGCTATGCTACAAGCCGGCAGGTCGTGGGTTCAAGTACCGATGAGGTCATTAGATTTTTTTTTCAGTTGACCTAATCCTTCTAGCCCCACTAGGCCCTGGGGTTTACTCAGCCTCTAACAGAAATGAGTACCAGGAATTAATTAAATAATTTTCCTGGGGAGCAAAGCGCGGCCGGCGCGTAAGGCTGACAACCTTACCGCCATCCTTGAGCCGATTGTCTAGAAAATGTAGGACCCTCAGCGTCTCACAATCCTATTGGCCTTCACGGCCTGGTACAGGGATACCTTTACTTCTTACTTTTACACATCTAGCATATTTCATAGTGCCGGAGCATACTTCACAATCGGAGCGTAACGCCACCACGTATATAGCATAATTTACAGAGCCGCAGCGTAACATCTTCACACGCGTAGCATAGTTCACAGAGACGGAGCGTAACATCTTCACACACGTAGCATAGTTCACAAAGACGGAGCGTTATAACTTCACACGGGTAGCATAGTTCACAGAGACGGAGCGTAACATCTTAACACGCGTAGCAGAGTTTACAGAGCCGGAGCATAATAACTTCACACGGGTAGCATAGTTCACAGAGACGGAGCGTTATAACTTCACACGGGTAGCATAGTTCACAGAGACGGAGCGTTATAATTTCACACGGGTAGCATAGTTCACAGAGACG